TTGAGATTTTGAACTCAGGCTCAGAGATTTCTTGGACTTGTCATTTTCTAAGAATCCCTTTCTTAGAGGGAAGGAGACCATATATACTTTTAGAATATTGGCAACAAGTATGTTCTCTCTCTGTCTGCTATTTGCTTAGGTATTTAGGGGTTTGGGCAAAAAGTTTATATAAAAATACTAGTATAATAACAACAATAATAATAATAAGGTGATACTGTATATTTTTAAAATATGCAAGGAGAGAATTAGGTGCCCAAAAAATAGTAAAAAAAAAATCAGTCCTGAAAACCGAAACACTGAACATTTTAATAGCAAATATTTTGAAACTCCTTCAGAACTGCTTTTAGACCTATAATTTGCTTTGTAATTTATTTCTAGTTTAGGCATTGCATGTACAGTTGGCATGTCTTTCTTCAAAAGGTAATAACCCACTAATAAAAGCCCAAACATCTCAATCTCAGAATTCCTCTCTTAAAATTGAAATGTTTTATTCTTGCTTTGTAAAATTCTACCGATGTGTATGTGCTTTGTATATCACTGCTCCACTTTTGTTTTGTTTTAGATATTTAAACCATGTCAGAGCTGCTTCGCCACAGGACCTTGCTGGAGGCTATACTTCTTCTCTTGCATGCCACAGAGCACTACAGGATGCGTTCAGTGGGCTTTTTTGGCAGCCCAGTTAACCTTGATTTTGCATTGTATAAGATTTGGACCTTGGAGCTGAACCAGGGAACTAGAAAAGTAAAACAAACTTGTAAAAATGATAGCCTTGTGCAGCTGTACAACAGTACTATCACTAGCACCTGTGTTAAAGTATTTATACAGAGAAAAATTCAGAACTAAGATGAGAAATATAGGGGATATATATTTGTGGAAAAGATTTATTTTTTACTTATATTTTTTCTGAACTGGATTGAAGCAGTGAGTCTAAGCTGATGGGAGAGAAGAATAAATAATCCATCTATGTATGTTTAAGGTTGACAGACTTGTAAAATCTTTTTAAAAATAAAGCTAGACTTTATAGTACATTTTGTGGTTTTTCTCTTATTACAGTGTTTTACTTGAACACATTTTAAAATGCCAATTTGATTACAACATTTAGTGTTAATATCCAGCTCTATTATTTCTTCTCATAAAACTCCTTTTTTCCTAATGTCTTCTTAGAACTAGTCCAGACAAGTGGATATATTCCCTTCTACCAGCAGGTTGTGGCAAGTAAAACAGACTTGTGATAATGTCGCTCCCTCAATTTTAAGAACCTCGTACCAGTTTTGAGCAGTGGAAAGGGAGGCAAACCTGGATCAAGGTGTTATGGTTCCCAGCTGTGAGGTACAGTCATGCCAAACCAGAGCACAGCATTAACCTGCTTTATTGACAAATTCAAAGGAGCAAGTTAATAAAATTCAAAACCTAAATGGCCCTTTCACCGGCAGTGTGAGCTCATTTTATGATGAAATGTTGGAGACTGGAAAAGGGGTACATTTTAAGTGAAATATCCCTATGCATAGTAAGTTGTAGACTCTGATATAGTGTTCCTTTGAAACTTCAAAGGCTTTTATTATACCCCGGGTTTTGCTTTAAGAGTGTGGATGTGGACAGGCTGGATATATTTGTAGCATCCCAGGTTTGTATGGGTCTGTTACACAGGTCACTGGATATGGGACACAGTTTCTCAAGCAAATTAAAGGATTTCCTATCAAATTTCTCTCACAACAGATGCTGGTTTTATAAGTGGAAAGCTATGAACCAAGACTTGTGATTATATTAGGGTGAAACAGCCACATGTAATAAACTCATCTTATTAAGTAAAGATTAAATTTAGGAGTACATCTCCATCTTCACAACATTTCTGTCTTTGGTAGATGGGGAAACCAAGGCACTGAATAACTGACTAGACCGCGGCCCTGTATATAGGTTAGTAGCACACCAGAATTAAGAGCCTAGATTTGTATTTAATCTAAGTCCAATTCTAGGTATACTCTACCAGGATACATATCTTATTCCTTAAAATCCTGATTAAGGATTTAAATTTTAAATACAAGGCTCAGTGTGGTAGCGCACGCCTGTAATCCCAGCACTCAGGAGGCTGAGGCGAAAGGATCTCTGCAAGTTTGAGGCAAGCCTGGGATACATAGTTGAGTTCAAGGCCAACCTGAACTACACAGTGAGACCCTGTCTCAAAAATAAATAATAAAAGGTAAATACCTAAATATAATCTATAAATCTGTTCAAATAATGAAAATATTGAACTTGCATTTGAGGCTTTGTTAACATTCAACTGCAAAAATAATGTATTCAAAGAGAATGAACTAATTAATACAGTCGAAGGCTTCCAAGACTTACTTTGAAATTACCTTAGAATTGTTACCTGAATCCTAGTATATCAAATGAAATGATGAAAGATTATTAAATGGCAGGGAACAGAAATATTCTAAGTTGATATGCTTGCTTCCCATCCTCCCAGTGACTTCCTCTCTCAGAGACAAAGACTACAAGACTACACCGGTGTTTCATCTCCATGAATCAACTCTTTTACATTTTACAGCACTGGTTCAGAAATAGTATATAACAATTATTGTTTACCTATATGCCAGGCACTGTGATTCATGCTTTGTATTATCTAATCCTTACAACAATACTACTATTATTTTTCCTACTTTAACAGATGGAAAAGTAGAGGTTAAGTACATAACTTGCCAGGAATTGATACAATTTCAATTAGCAGAGCTGGGACTTGAATGCAAGGGATCAGGCTCCAGAGTCCATGCCATAGAGATGACTGCCAAACTTACAAACCACAGCTATGCTAAAACTAGAGCTAGGTAGTCCCAACTTCGTAAGACCTTCCAGAAAGTTTACAGAGCAAGTATCTAGATCCTTTATGAGATGTAATGACATCAATTCAGTGATCTTGTTAATTTCCTGAAACAAGTTCTGAGAAGTTCATTATCTAGAAAATGCTTATTCTAATATCTGTACTCCCTCTCAAGCATAAATTAATGGTATAGAATACACTTACATAACAGGATACATTATTACTTAGTGTTCCTTAATTTGATTCAAGTATTTCATCTAAAAGCTTCACTTAGAAACTTCCTTTGACAGCCAATAAGTCATTAGAAAATAATTTCAAAATTCAATCCAGGTGGTAGCAAACTTGTCAAAAAGTTAACAAAATTAAAAAATTGTATCTAATGAGCTTTCTAGCTGTCATTTTCTAGTAGATTAATCAAGAGTTCATTTACTAGGTATTGCATTTAAGTTTAGGCGGGTCTAGATTTAAATAGTGAAATAATCATGTGCTCTCAACCCAAGTGAGAAAGAGGAGAGCTAAATACTAGCTGAAGTATTTAAGTATTCTATTTTGTGTATAAAATATTTTCTCTAGTTGAAGGATGACTAAATGGAGGCAAAAGTCTTTCCACTTCACACATGTAAGTAAAAACATCATTTGTGATGTGTACAGTACTTGAGTTAAGCTTCAAAACAATTTAAATGTTGCTAGACAAGAGGGTCTGTAATTAGTTCCCTATATCTTGTACCATTTATTGCCTTCATTTATGTACATTAGCTGTCTGGCTTCTGAAGATATGTATTTGAGTTTGTGATTAATGATCGAGATCAAAGGACCTCAACCTTTTTTTTTTTTTTCTCCTTTTCTTTACACACTGGGGATCCAACTCAGGACCTTGCATTTGCCAGGCAGGCAGTGAGCTAATCCCTGGCCACACCTCAGTTTTTTTTGGATAGGACCAAAGAGTAAATTTTTAAGGCTTTTCGGGCTAAGAGGAAAGTCAAGGACATTATATAGGTACGGAGGAGATAAATAGCCACAATTTTTCTGACAAAACTCAAAATATGATGAAATACAATTTTTGTAATACGCTTTTGGAGAGGTTTAATATTGCCTTCAATTGGAGATCTAAATGTGACCTATCATCAAAGTTAATTGCAAATAATCACCTGTTAATGGTTGTGAATGAGATTTTACATTTTAGAAAAAATATCTTTTCATACAACAGGTACTGTTAAATATGTTTTTCTATCTAGGACAGTGGTGGTGAACCTATACACATGCTGCAGTAGGCTGTTTGTATCATAGAAAGCTCTACGAGCTTCGACATCATGGTTCTAGGAGTACACATTAACTGAGCATATTCATCACTTGGAAGGCATCTGTGAAACTCTTAATAATTCTTCCCTTGATACCTGACTTTTAACTGTCATTAATCACTTCTAGTCGATTAGATAGAAGTTAGATTTTGAAATGGGGAAGTTTTCTTGGTCTTGCACCAAGGCCACCCAAAATGCTGAACTTAAGAATATAGCCATTAATTTGTGAGGATGTATAAAGTAAGATACTAGAATCCAAATGTCAGTTGTTTTACTACTGTATATTTCACATTGAAGTTATTTTAATCTTAGGTTGTATTCTTTAAGAAATATCAAGTTTTCAACATCTAATTTCCAGTCATTCAGTGTTCCAAAATTGTGTTTAAGGGTGGTTCTTAAGAAAAATTTAAATCTTGATTTTTAAGCTCAAAAATGTTAAAATGCTAATAAAATCAAACTGAGGGTAGGTTAGGATACTTAATTTCTGACATAACTCAAGGAATTAGAATGGCTAGCTGTGAAAGCAAGTGAAGTTTACCCATTACTACTGGTTCAGAAACATTAGATTCAAATATTTTCCACAAGGGACTTGCTGATGAATAATGTAGTGAAAAGCTATAGGCTTTATACTCTTGACATTTTCACAGGCTTTATAAATTTGAGACTTTTTCTGTTTTTTAGCCATTGTCAGTTATAACATCTTAGCAGATTCTACTTTAGGCTGTACAGAACTGGTGGTTTCTCAACTCCCTGGAAAATATTCATCCATAGTTACTCCATACAGAATATTCATAGAAGCTAATTCTGCAGTCACTTTAAGCTTGGTAGTGACACCTTGAATAAAACTAAGTAGCATTAATAACATTCTATCAATTCATTAAGAGGCAAAAGCTATTCAGAATTATTTGCCCTTTTAATTGACTATTGATATTGTTTCCATTATCCTTAACTCTTAACTGTTCTTTGGAAAGTCCAATAGTCTTGTTTATTTTCCCTGGATACTTTTTGCCTTCCCTCTCTTTTCTTTCTTCTTTCCTTCCTTCCCTACCTCTTTCCTTCATTTTTAGTGCTCTCTCAAATTTCAGACTTTTCACATGTCTCAAAATATCATTGTTTTGTTTTTAAACCATTTGAAAATGTAGGAACATTGTCAGGTCTCAAGCCATACAAACAAATGGTGGGCCAGACTTGGCCTGCAGGATGTAGTCTGCCTATCCATGATGAAAATAACCTCAGTTTTTATCACCTTTATTGTAATAACTGGTGTAGTTATGTAAAATTACTATACTGTTCAATAAAGGATAACTATGAAATGGTATCAGTGCTTTTTTATTGTAACAGTACACAAGTACCTAAAAACTATCTTTCCAAGAGACTGACAATATTTAAGCATATTTATCCTTTTTAGTTTTTTTGAGGCAAGGTCTTGTCATATTGTCTAGACAGGCCTCACATTCACAATCCTGTCTGAGCGTCACAAGTCACTGGGATTACGTGCATGCACCATTAAGTATATTTATCTAATAAAAAATTAGATATAGTTTAGATTATAAAATAATTATTGCGACCATAAGTCCTGATTTGTCAGCTTCCTTGGATTAGGAAATGCCTGATTAGTAAAGCATGCTCCAGGGTGTCTGGGTGGGTCACGGGAGCATGGCCTTGGCCACTTCCTATGGTCCCTAGCCCATGTCTCTCATGCACTGTTCCCCTGCTCTGTCTCCTGGCCACCAGGAACTAAACAGCTTGTTCTGCCCTGCCTGTCTACCATCATGTTTCTGCCTCGGAGCCTGCTGACTATGTACTGAATCTCCTGAAAACATGAGCCAAATTCAGCTGGGTATTGTGTCACAGCAAAAGAAAAGCTACCTAATACAATTATATAGTATGACTTAGATAAAAAAAATAGTTTTCATCCAAATTTTAATTTGATAACAAGACAGAGTAAAATACCTGAGAGTTCAATATTAAATTTTTATGGAACTATACAAATTATATTTTACTACATACTGGTAAAATGGAGAAAACATTTCCAATTAAGTGTTTGAAACAGTTTCTGTTTTTTCTTCTGAAAAGGCATCATCTGTCTTCTGCCGTTTAACAGGTAGATCTTCATGATCCTCTGTAACAAATACAGAAAACCTATTTGAGGTAAGGTATTTAATAGTTAAATGCACTTTAAAAAATAGAGGCATTTTAAAGATTTTTTTTAGTCAACGTTGATATAAAATAACATTCCTGTGGATTTATTGGGTTAATGAAAGACCCTCTTATTAAACTGAACCATGTCCCACACTAAAATTTTGAGAAACAAGTCAGATTGAGTGGTGATAGATCTTAAATAAAAATAACTAACTAGAATTAGTCGAATGTCCTAATTCCAAATTTAATGAACATGTGTATCCCAAAGAAATTACATGAAAAGTATTGTAGTTTACATTTAATTCATCAGGAATTGCTCACCTAGTCTGATGGTCTGGTTCTTGTAGAGTACAGTAGCCGGGATCTGAAAGGTGATGCACAGCATTTCTTTGTTAGGGGCCACATTTCTTACTGGGTGAATTGAACTGCATGCCTCCAAGGAAACACCTAATGCAGTTCCAGCTCGTTGCCGCACATCCTCAGCAGGATTAACATCTTTGGAAAAACTGTAACAGTGCACTCTGGGAAGGAGTTCACTGCTGCATGGCTGCCCATCTAAAAGCGATCTGAAAGCACTGAGAAATTCTATAGCCTTTGCTGGCAAGTTCATGACAATGTGGATGGAGGATTTTCTTTCTTCTGACAGTTCCAGCTGCTGCAGTAACTCTTCTTTGACTGGTCCTTGGAGGAAGTCTTTCCCATCCAAGTTGAAGACCTTTACCTTTTGGCCCACTTTATTTAATTTACAATTGTGCAACAGCCATTTATGGGATTCAGGATTGAGATCATTGGCAAACACAGTGCAGTTTTTCCTTGCCGCTGGAATGGTAAAAGGCCCAACCCCAGCAAATACATCAAATAAAACATCCCCAGATTTGAGAAGGTCTGTGATACGGCTGTGTTCTGTAGAGAGGCGAGGATTCCAATACACTTTTGAAAAATCAAATTCATAAGTATAGTTGTTTTCTCGAACCTGAAAAGGTATGGTTTTGGTTAATCAGCTTGCTCCGAAATTTCAGCTGCTGGTACTGGATATGTGTGTTTATGCACACAGGCACACACATTGACCTTTACCACTATCACAGCAAATAACAATAGGCTTAAAGGCATTTTAATTAGAATTGGTGTTTATGTTACTTCTGGTACCTTGTATCAGGTTGTATCTTGTGTTAATTTTGTTCATGAGAAAAGTCATCTCTTTGAAGCCAAACAATTACACGAGGAAATTTTCAGAAAGGCCAAATGACTGGTTTAATGATTTTTTTAAATCTCCAGATGGAGAGGGAGAAACTGTATAATTTGAAACAACATACCACCACACATATCTTCTTAGTAAGTAGGTAAGGTGCTGATAACACTTCCACATAGCAAACAAGCTTCCCTCTTCTTTTTTTTCTTTTCTTTTTTGCAGTACTGGGGATTGAACTCTGGACCTTGGGCTTAGAAGGGACGCATGGTGCCACTGAGCTAAATCCCTGGCCCAAGCTTCCCTCTTTTTAATTTTTAGTTAGTAAAAAAGGGAGGCATAATTTGGAGGTATGTATTCTACTAAGTCTTTATTTAAACTTTGTAAATTTCCTATGTATAAATTACATCAAGTACACAAAATGAGTCCTGTATTTTATTTCTTTTCCCAAATTTTAGTTTTCATGGGTAAACTACATACAGTGAAGCTAAATCTTGATTAAAAGTAAGACTTTGTAGTACTTCTTTCCAGTGCACCATAGACACATTAGAATATTGAAAATAAAACAAATTATAGTTATGAAACATGACCTTAGCCAACATCCTAAGCTCAATATTTTATGAACAAAGAATTAAAGACCAGAAAGTTCCAAAGTTTTATGAATCTGATAGAGATATATCCTCTATCTTCTTCCTGCAAATTTATACAGACCTTTTTCCTTTCAAACCATAGCATAAGCTCTGGTCAAATTATTAAGATTCCAGAGTGGAAAATGTTCCTGGAAGTTTTTACCAACTGAAAGTCTCTCCAGGTATAACTACAAAGGCGTAAGTGAGAACTACATTATTTTACAATTTTGTTTTCTGTCACTCACCCTGTCAATTGGCAATTTATTCGAAGAAATATGGAGCTCAAAAACTTTAATGATAATCCATTGTATCCTCATATCAGAATTTAACCACTTCCTCTGAGAAGGCTTTCCTGTCAATATTATCCCACCAATAATATGTAAGTCCTTAGAATTTTGCATACTCATCAATATTGGGTCTTACAAATATTTTTAAATTTTTCCATCTATTTTGATTCTAAACACTAATCTTGATATAAATCCTACCAGGATATAATAAACAATTCTGTACCTTGGTCATCATATTCTCTTCTCCAGATAGCAATTCCATTTCAAAATTTCGGTATGTATTGTCAATATTATTGATTTTATTTACTGCTGAGGTGATTCCTGGATTTTTGTCAATCATAACTTGACCTAAAAGATGAAAATTAATAAAAAAAAATACTGCCTATAGGTTATAAAATAAATGCTAAAACTGAAAATATTTAACAAATAAGCTGTATTTTCTTTTGGTTTATAGATTTAAAATTAGCGAGTTCAATGTTGCATACAGTTCTAGAGTTGAAAAGGATACTAAAATTAATTTCTGACAGCAATACACACAAAATATATGGGTACATTTCTAAAGAAAAAAAATTGGGCATTAGACTCTACCTGATATTTGTCTACATTTTTACTAAATCTCAAATGTACTAATACAAGTAAGCAACAGGTAGAACATAGGTTAAGTGGGAAAGAATGAAAAGATGTGTGAAGAACCTGGCAAAAAATGTTCTCAGAAGACATCAGCAAAAACATATGTCTATCCCTGCTGCCTCAAACTGCATGTTGTACTGTGTGCTTGAACAAATGCCTCCACTTTGGAAATACATGTAAGCAAAACAGTGTTTCCAGCAAAAGAAACATTGATTCTTTAGAATCTGATCTAAATAAAATATTTCCTCAAATATTCATAAGCAGAAAAGCCACAAAAATAGTAAAATACATCAGAAATAGCATAATGATGCCTTTTAATCAGTTAGCACTTTAGAAATTTATTAAAAAATATATTTTCTCATTGTATAAGAAAAAAATAACTTGATTTATAACTTAGTAAAAAGTACATGATAGTACAAACGTGGAAATATAACCCGAATTTCACTTTTACTCTGATACTTGGACACCTGTTTTTGAATATAACATCAATACCTTCTAATCAATCATTGCTCTTTTCCTGATCTACTTCAGGTATCTGTTTTCAATTTTTAAGGTGTAGAAGTGAATTTTTTGTTTGTTTATTTTGTTTTTTGAGACAGAGTCTTGCTATGCTGTTTAGGCTGGCCTTGAACTCACTATGTAGTCCAGGCTGGCTTGGAATTCATGGCAATCCTCCTGCTTCAGCCTCCTGAGTACTAGGATTACAGGCCTGCACCACCACATCTGGCTAGAATTTTAAATGAGGAATGAAAATAAGTCAATTCTGAAGTTCTATAATAAAATCTTTAAAATTATTACTGTATAGGAATGCTTTTTTAATATTTGAGTGTCCCTTTATGAGCTTTAAAAAATAGGCATGCCAAAGGAATGTTTGCGTTAGGGTAGGCAATAACTGTAAGAAAGCTTACATCTAACATCTGTAACCAGTCAACAATTATAAAGATCTGCTCAAGTATTTATTATATTACCATTGTACACTATCAATCAGTAAAAACAAAGTTAATGCCTAACAGCATAGTTCTAAAATCCTACCCATGCAAAGCACTTAGTACATTTTAAGGCTGAAAATAATTCCCAGAAGTTTGAAAATTTTTTATTTTTTTAAAGGAATCTAGAGAACGTGTGGGCATCAAATACTTAAATGCAATTTTGATTAGTTCTGTACTTTCTTAAGACCTCTGGATATACAGAGGTAGGACATTAACAATAAGCACTGTTTCAAAAAGGCTAGAAGGGAGGGCAAGGGGAATGGGGAAAAAAGAAGAAGATACATCATGTTAATGTACAAGATCCTAATGATGAACGTGACTGTTTTGTATACCTAAAATGTACCAATAAACTTAATGGAAAAAAAAAAAGGCTAGGAAGATCTAAGAAACAAAGTATTGGTGTCAAAGATACAGAAGAGGCTTAATTAACACAGACTCAATAAAAGCATAAGTAAACAGTGTTGTCCTTTTGACTATGAAAACCCCTCATTTATTAAACCTAGTACTAAACATTGTCCCAAAGACTTGTATACCAAACGAATTCTGTTCAGTGTAGAACAAAGTTCTGTACTGGTAGACATAAAAACCCAGACCAATGTTTAGAGCTTGCTATGACTCTGAAAAGGAGTATGCCAAATTGGCCCTCAAAAGAATATATGCAGCTCAACATTTGGCTTAAAATTACAATTATAAACAGTCCTTCTGTAATGTGGCATTTAAAAAATAATTTTCAAAACAAAAATTAGATTTTTCCAATTGCTTTCTAGTACATGAACATTACCTAATACACCTACCAATTAAATGCTTGAATGGTAGCTGATGATCTCGAAGGTTCAGGTGTGCAATATGTCCCACTCTGCTAAACCCTGAAACCACATCTTGACCTTCAGGAAGCACAGCTCTCAAGATCTCTTCTGACTTAAAGTTTTCATAAGTTAGTTCCAAATTATATTTAGATATCTGTGGACTGACATTAAGCTGATTTAAAATACTGAGTTCTGCTTTTTCAAAGGAATCATGCGTAAGTATTTTATAGGGATCCAACATAATTAATCTATATTCTTCATCTTCTGGATCTTCAATCACACGTTTTATTCCCGGGCGCTGCAGTGCTGCCCTTTTAAGGGATCGCATCAACCTGCTGACTATTTCTTTCTTCACTTTAAGCACTGGAATGGTGACTGTCTTTTTAAAAGCTGTCCTATCAAGTTTTGTCATTCCTCGAACATCAGAGGGTGGTGAAAACAGTTCAGAGTCCCTTTTATTTGTTTCCATTTCTGGCATGGCTGAGAATCTTTTTCTTTGATCCAACAAGAAAATACCAAGTGTTTTCCTAAGCTTCTGTGGAAGCGCTGTCCATGCTAGCGGAATCAACAATTCGGATTCAGTTGGGTTAAACCTTTCTACTTTCAAAAGTCTTGAGAATCCAAATGGCCTCCATAAGATACTTTAAAAGAAAAAAGTATTCATTAAAATATCATAAAACTACAAATGAACATGTTCACAGTGGCTTTTGAGAATAAAAATCTAACTTGCTTCAAATAACCTGCTAAACAAAACTTGTAATGGTGTGAGAGAAGTATACTATCTTTTCCAGGATAGGATGACTTTTATTATTTGCAGCTTCTGCCCACCTGCTACCTCGATGGAGGAATTAGTAATCAGTCAGCTCTGTAGTACTCACTGACCCTCTTACCCACAATTTTCTACAGAATTAGGACTGGAAGACTGAGATATGAGTTAAAGAATCATCTATAAATGAAGCAGTCTTTATATGTAACATCACCAAAGGCAATGTTTACTAGGTATTCCTATGCTTATGGGTGCTTATTGTAGCAGATGCTGTGTTATCAGTACTGGAAGATGTGTAGTGGCATACTTTTTGAAAATGAAGGCCCGAATAGGTTAACTCACACAGTCCCATTGCAGGTAAGTGGTCAGTCAAGAATTTAAGCCTCAGTGAATGTGTTCTTAATCCCGTATGTTGCCAAATTGTCTTCGATGCTTCACTGCCATGTGTCCTGTCTACAACTAGAGGCGTCCGCATTTTCAGCAGCTTTGATGAGTCTTGTAATCACAGTATCTGTTACTCACTTTGTTTTCTAAAGTACCTAATAGGTGATTACGGTGTGAAGAGCGCTGCACCACAATTGCACTGCAACGAAGTGAAAGTTCACATTCAGGGTTTAAATTGAATCTAACACTTAACCAGCTGGGCGACCCTGGGTTAAATCTGAGTCAGTTTCTTGTTTGTAAAACGTGGTCAAAAGCTGTATCAAAAGGCCTCACCGCCCGCAGTGTAGGACCTAAACTCAGCACGCGGGGGGGAAGGGGTAGGGGGAAGCTCACAGCAAACCCAGCGAACCGGTACCGCCCCTAGTCCCAGGCCCTTTGCGCCAGGACGGGCACCGGGCTGTCACCTCACCGAGTCTGGGTGTTGCTCACCAGCTGGTTCGGTGACCAGACCCCTCACCTCATGCTCCGGTGCGGATCGGAAATGGATGGTAAGTGGAGTGGCCCGCGGCAACGTCATCTCTGTTCGCCACGGAGGGAGCGCGCGTCATCAGACCTCGACCATTCTTCCCGCCCGGGTGAGGTAAGAGAACCCGGAAGGGCCGTCCTACAGCTCCACCTCTGGCGCGATTAACGATTCGGGCGGAGGGCAGGAGTCTAGCTTCGCACATGGACCTGGTGGCCAGCAAAGAGACAGCATGGAGGCGCCCCGGGAGAACCACCACACGGAGTGGGGCTGGTACATCTCGGTCCAGCACCCCGAAGACTCAGCGGCCGAAGAGTTGCGTCCGTTGCTAAGCAACGTAAGTGGGCTCCGCGAGTGTCCAGGCGCAGACGGCCTGAGGCGCAGTCCCGTGCCCGCCCGCTGTGACGGGGAAAGCGGCGAAGCTGGGGTCTGACTCCTGGGGGCGGGAGCCACAAGTACACCCACTTTTTGAAGAGTTCGGCGGAGTTAGCCTTGTGACAGTGGTCTCGCACGCTGTGGAGAGAAAAGCTGAAGAAAGGTGCAGCCCTGAGCAGAGGCAGGCGCCGCCAGCGTGTTTCCCGCAAGGTCTCTGTGACTGCCCGCTGTGTGTTAGTACTTCGGTTCTCCACCGGGCTTAGGAGGTCTTTGCAAGCGTCCCGAGATGTTTCTTTTCCCACTTAGCCATTGGAGGAGCGTAGATGGCCAGGTGAAAAGCACAGAGCTCCCCTCTGATCCACCTGTGCTCTGGTTTCCAGGCCAAAGCTCTCCGGCTAAGCTGTGTCCTCAACCCCGGGCATTCCGCTTTCTACCTGGAATCCTTGTACTATCGCAGTTTACAATTTGCTCCCAACTGCTGTTTGGGGCGAGGGGTTTATAGGGATATATTTGCTAAAACAAGGTGTAGCGCTTATATTTATTATATTGTCATTGCAGGTAGTCCTGACCATTCTTACAGTTGGGCAGACTTATTAATTATACAAAGAAAGATTAGGTTTGCAGCCCTAGTAATTAGGAAGGAAATTTGTGGGCAGCAGTTTGAAGCTGACTCAGGGATTCTTCAGAAATCACATGATCTGAGGCCCTGTCCCTCCTGTCGGTCTCCACCCCATTCTGTCCTATCTTCCTTCTCTCGAATTCACGAGACTAGTCATGGCTCTTCCTGAAGACTTCTGGGCCTCTGTACTGGCAGGCATGACCTTGTCCGGGAACTGGATTCCTGGGGCACCAATTAGGAGGTAAGTAGGAAAGGGAAGTGGTGTCACGAAAGCCTGATGATTTGCAGATGTTCTCCATACCATTTCCATGATTTTAAAATGAAATTCGAACTTGACCATTCAAAAATTTAACACTGTCAAATTTCTCTACTTACAGGAACTTCATAGACAGGGATCCTCAGGAGTTTCATTTGGTTTTTCAGTCTTTAATTTGATGAATGCCATTATGGGAAGTGGCATCCTTGGCTTAGCTTATGTTATGGCTAATACTGGTATCCTTACATTTAGGTGAGTTTTTTCCTATTTTACCATCTCCACCCCCCCCCATTTTAATTATATACGGAAAGTAAAGGAATAGGTTCCATAAGCTACTGTTATACAATTTCTAGTTAGGTTATTTCTGAAGTTTTAACCTTTGTGTTGTTGTTCTGTTCTGTTGCTGGGGTGATACCATTCACAGTCAGGCATCACTTACAGAGAGGGCGGTGTTCTCAGAAGTGCCTTGTGAGGCAGTTTTGTTGTTTGAACATCACAGTGTTCTTACCTAATGGCATTACACATCACACACTTTGAGTGTTTTCATGCAGCCTATTGCTCCACGTAACAAACTTGTACAGCATGTCAGTGGACTGAATCCTATATGTAGTTGTATAACACAGTGGTATTTGTGCACCTAACCACATTTTAAACTTGAAAAGATATAGTGAAAACATACTGTTAACAATTGTAACCTGTACAGAACACTGAAATTGCCGAGAACGAGGAGTGAGTGTGAAAGTCTAGGGTACCAGACTCCATAGAAATACTGCACCCTCAGGCTATCCTGTGTTTATAAAAACTGCTGTTCTCTCTTCAATAGTAAATTAACCTTCGCTTATTGTAACTTTACTTTATAAACTTTATTTACTTTTAACTTTATAAATGTTTTAATTTTTTAAACTTTTTGAGTTTTATAATAACATTAAAACACGTTGCATACCTATACAAAAATGTGTTTTTATATTCTTATTCTATAAGCTTTCTCTATTTAAACTTATTTATATTTTATATTTTAAACTTTTTATTAAAACCTAAAACACACACACACACACACACACACACACACACACACATTAGCCTAAGCCTACGTAGCATCTGGCTCGTCGATATTACCATCTTCCATTCCCATATCTGTTTCACTGGAAGGTCCTCAAGGACAGTAGCACACATTGAGCTGTCACCTCCTGTCATAACAGTGCCTCCTGCAGCTAGGCATGGTGGCACACACCTGGATTCCCTGTACTCTGGGAGGCTGGAGGATGACAACTTTTAGCGCAGCCTGGGCCACTCAGTGACTTAACAAGACCTTGTCACAAAATTTAAAAATGTTTTTTTATAAGAGGCTGTGGATGAAGTTCTGTGCAAAAGCCCTGGGTTCAATCCTCAGGCCACACACACACACACACAAAGGAAAAAACCCCAGTGCTTTCTGGAACACCTCCCTAAAGGACTTGTCTGAGGCTGCTTTACAGTTCACTTTTTTCCATAATTAGAAAGTGTGAGCTCCAGGGACAAGGGGAAAAAAAATGAGAACCAAGACCTGTCATGTAAAGGTAAAAGATCCCAATAATGAATGTAACTGTACTGTACACCTAAAATGTACCAATAAACTCAGTAAAAAAAGTGTGTGCTCTAAAACAATGATAGTAAATAAACAATAATAGTAAATACATAAACTAGGAACACGGTCATTTATTGTCATTATCAAGTATGTACGGTACATAATGTGTACTGTACTTTTATATGACTAGCAGCGCAGCAGGTCTGTTTACCTCAGCACCTCCACAAGCATGTGCATGATGTGCTGCACCGTGGCATTAAGACAGCTGAGATTCCTTCGCTGATAGGAATTTTCCAGCTCCATTATAATCTCATCAGACCACATGACTCTAGTTTTTCTTAATCCAAAAATTGGCTAACTTATAGAAATTGCTTCATGTCCATAAGAACTGGCTTATTCAGCTTCATTTGTGCTGAATTGGCCAAAGTGAATCAAAACTTGTTAGCCATGAAGATTACTGATTGATAACAATTTTTGAGTTCAAATAGAGCACGTAAACTTTTCATTCCTCTCCATCTCTCCCTGTCATTAGGTAGGGAGTCTAGATATACATTCTGTGCCTGTTCCTTTATATATTTAAGTCTTTGCCCCTCAGGTTGCTTACCCCAAAATAGAAAACTTTCCTGGCTTCTCTGTACTCCCACAGTACTTTGTGTATCCCGTTGTTATAATTTGTTGTTATGATTTGTTTGCAAGTTAATCTCACTAAACTTTAAAATCCCTTAAGATGGACCTTATCCTCAGCATCTGGCACTATAGCTAACAGATGAATAAGTTCGTTTTGTTTGTTTTGCCAATAGAAGCAGACATTTTACTAGGAAATTTTAAATATACAGAATCTGATTTAGGGCTATTTCTTTTATTTTAAATCTCTTCATAAGCAAATCAGCTTTTAAGTAACCAATTTGCTTTTATTGTGGGCTGTATTCACAAACTTTCATGCTTTTTGAACTTGAAAACTATGCAGCACCTCAGGGAAGCCACAATCAGAGGATTTACTTTTTGTTTCTCTTTGAAAACGTATTTTAAACAAGGATCTTACATGTAGATGAATACTGCTGAATATAATCTCATTAAATCATAACACATGTCCCTTTTGGTGATGTTGGTATTTATTTATTTATTTTTGGTATTGGGGATCGAACTCAGGACCTTGCACTTGCAAGGCAGGTGACAGCACCACTGAGCTGTATCCCCGGCCCTAGTTTTGTTTTTTTGTTTTTTTTCAGATCTCTAGATGTCAGTTTGATTACATGTGCAGTTTGACCTCTCAGTTTTGCTGCTTATTAACAAATATTAAGTGGACCATAAAGTTAAGAGTTTCTTTAAATATTGGGGCAGTCCCCTGTGGACAGCTCTATTTCTGAAACCTTGTCATGCCAATATCTTCCTGAGAATAAGTGGAGAATTATGTGTGCTATTTCTTTTCACAATGTCGGTAAGAGAATCCCAGTTATTGCATTGTTTGCACAGCTTTCAGATTGCATTACTAGAACTGTGTTAACTGCATTGTTTTAGTTTGGTGTGGAGCATAAATGTGTTTTAAATAAATGCTAGGAAATAGTTGTAATATTACTCATGAAAAAGTGGTAAAGAGGCACAGGAAATGGCAAACAGAAGACAGTGAAATTTCATAACAAAAACATAGGTATAGACTTAGAAAAGGGAAAAAATAGTCATAAAAGGGAAATACCAGGATCACTGAATGGCTGAATCAGCAGTCAGCAGACAGGAATGCAAAAAGAGGAAGTTTGTACTGTATTTTTAAAAGTTCATCTTTCTGATTTCATGTTTATTTTGAAATCAGTATATTTTCATTTTAAATAAAACTCGTTAAATATAAAAAATAGAAAACTGTCTTGATTTTTTTTTTTAATGAACATGATTCTGCTACTCAGAGGTAGTCCTTTAAAATTGCTTGGTAATGAGATTCTATGAAAAAGACAAACTTTGCTGCGTATAGTGGCACACACTGTACAGTCCTAGTTGTTTGGAGCCTGAGGCAGAAGGATGGCAAGTTTGAGGCCAGCCTGGGCAACTGAACAAGACCCTGTCTAAAAGTAAAAAGGTCTGGGGTATAGGTCTAGCTTAGTGATAGACTGCCCTGTGTGTTCAATCCTCAATACCAGAGGTGGATTTCGGGGGATTTGACCATGTGTTCTTTTATATTTTAGTTTCTTGCTGCTGATAGTCGCTCTTGTGGCTTCTTACTCAGTCCATCTCCTGCTCAGTATGTGTATTCAGACAGGTAAGTACAACTACTATGCTGTTTACTTGAAGAAAACCCTTGAGTTTGTACCAATAGAATGTCTTAAATCTAATTTCTGAGGCTGGAGGTATAGCTCAGTGGTAGAGTGTGGGTTTAGCATGAAGAAGGCCTTGGGTTCAATCCCTGGCACCAAGGTGGGGGGGCACCTAATTTTTAGTGGGCATCTATTATTTAATAGGGTGACTGAAATGAAAAATTTAAAAAGGCTAGTATTTATAGAGCCAGTGTATGGGAGCTGTTAAAAGACAGGATGAGAGGAGGAAACTAGCATTCTCTTGCCTTCCTCACAAAACACAACATAGTTTTCTGGGTTAGAGTAAGGAAGATACCTAAAAAGTATTCATAAAAGCCAGGCAGTAGACAGGTATTTCTCCTGAGGTATTCTTTCTTCAAGGAGACCACCTACCTAGATCTACTGCTGCCTTCTTGCCAGCCTGCCTGCTAGACACAGGCTTGGGATGGCAAGATTAGGAGTGTTAGAAACAAGGTCAAAAAGCTTTGGATTTATCTAGATACAGTTAATATTTTTACTTGTAAGTCTTGGATAAAGTAATTTTTCCTAAGTGACAGAAGTACATGCAGTTAATACAATACATTTTTATTTATGTGAGCTTTTTCCATTTGGAACATTTTTATGAATAAGCTCCTCTAAATTGCAATAAATAAAAGTATATGAATTACGCATCTATTTTTATAAGATTTTCCTTTTTGTCATTAACAAATATTTTGTGTCCATTGATCCTCATCTTTTTATCTGTCAATTCTCTCTTTTGATTAGTCAGTTTTGAAGCTAAAATCATAATCCTAATTCCTGTATGGGTGGATTCAATTCCCTCTATCAGGTCTTGTGACTTGGAGAAGCCAAGCAGATACACCAAATAGATTTTTCATGAGTTTTAAAGCTCTTCAGAATGCAATTTTAAAAGCATTGATCTACTTTGTTTCCCTAAAACTTGGGTGTATATCAGAAACACCTGATGATCTTTTTATAAACAGATTTTTTTAACAGTCCTTTAGGTGATCTTTAGGCAAAGCCAATTTCAGTATCCCATACCTGTAACTTGTACCTGTGCTTCTAGATGCATGCCTCTGCTCAGATCAATGTGCAGAAAGACAGAAGTGATAGGGAACAATGCAAAGAAACACGATGTTTATAATAGCACCCCGAATTCAGGAATAATCATTTTTGATAAATATGTGTGTAATACTGCTGAAAATTGACTAGAATTTTAATTTTGAAATTTTGCTTCTTTGTGTGAAAAAATTATATTTATGAATTGGGATAATTTAACTATATAATATATCCTTTTAATGAGTTTTACTAAAAGATTAATACTTTAGTAAACTATAGCAGTTATGTCATCAGTAACCAAAATGTTTTATTAATTCCAATTACTTGAGAGTTATATTCGATTTGTGGAGGTTTCTAAAGAGTGTGCTCTTTCCTTTGATTGATGTATATTTAACTTTAAAATTCTGACGGTGTTAATTCTTTCTGTAACTCTGGGGCATATAAAGTGAAAATACCTGTTTCTCTTTCTTTTTCCTTTTTCTTTGATTTTTGTAGCTTACTCGGACCCATGAACTAACTTCCTCATTGCTCCTCATTCATACTGATGCACCTGTCTTGCGTTGATTGAATTCCTTCAGTCAGTATAAAAGTCTCTGGAGGTAGGCTTTTTTTCCCAGTACATTCCTATAAGACAAAAGAACAATGTAAAAATTCTTCCTGTCAGTGTGTTAGACTATCACAAAGGAGTATAAATGCTTAGATTGGATCTGTTGTTCAGAGAAGGAGCTATTACAAGTCTTTACAAAATGATTTCATTTATTTGTGAGAAAAGGTGAAGAGAAATTTTTACCTTTATAAATGTACTCTTCTATAGGGCTGAAGCGTGTCACAACTTTTCTTGGGAGTTCAGGTGGTATATAAGGTACCTTATTCTCTCTAGCCTTAGTTTCCCATCTGTAAAATGGCCATCCTGGTACTTACTTTTGGCCTTGTTCTGAAAATGAAATTAATGTGTGTAAAATATCAAGTCCTTGATAAATGCCAGCTTCCATTTGAGTGCTTACTGGGACAAAATACTGAAGGATTGTAAGGTATTATGCATACTGCGATTGGAAACAGCTGACTCACTGCCATGCTGTGGAAACATCTTATACACTGGGATTAAGCCCACAACTCCCCTCCCCACACGCTTCTGGCCCTGCCCCTACTCCCTAGTCCCTGGTCCCCACTACTCACTGCATCATCACCATTCTGTGCCTCCAGACCATTTGGATTAATGACACTATAGTATTTATCTCAATTGTGCTAGTCACTTAAAGAATCTTGTATTTTTCATTTCCCAGACTTGGCCCTCATGTCTGTCACCTGCTTCTGATCTCATCTTCCACTTTTCTCCAGTTCCCCAAACTCTTTCACTGTTCTCTCTGGAATCCACAATCAATCATCATCAAAACCCATATGTCCTTAATTCTTTTGTGAATGTACCCCTTTTGTGTGTATGTGGGTACGAGAGGTATTGGGGATTGAGCCCGGGGCATTCACACTGAGCTGCATCCCCAGCCCTTTTTGTATTTTGTATTTTGAGACAGAGTCTCACTAAGTTGCTAAATTGGCCAGGTGGCGCTTGAACTTTCTGTTCCACGATAATTGTGTGTCTTCCCCATCCTTGAGGTCCAGGGTGACTTCTGGATACAGCCTTCACATTCACATTCTAGTCAACAAGAGGAGAAAAAGAGAAAGCTCCCAGCTGACTCTTAAGATTCTCTCTTACTTTGTGTGCCAGAAATTAGTCAAATATTCATACTAAATCTCAAGGGGGCCTGGAAAAATGTAGTTTTTAATTAAAGGTAGCAATGGCCCTAACTAAAAGCCAGAGGAAGAAGAGAAGAGATAACCGACAGTCTCTGTCTTCCCATTTTTGTACCATACAGTATGTAGTTTGCCAAGTGTAGACTGATGATTCCAATCCATGCTCCTGAAACCCGAATCAGCTGCAACTAGACCTCTCTACTTAGATGTTCTACAGGCATTATAAATTTAAATTTAAACATCTTTCATTTCTGACATCTCAAGTTTGTTACTCTTTCTGTATCCCTACCTCAGTGGATGGGATCACTAAGTTTATAACTCCTCATATATCACCTAATTACTAATCAATTTTCTAAGTATTTCTTAGCTCTGTATGATTCTTCTTCCTTGTGGCTACCGTGTGGAGCATGCCATAACCCTTCAAGTTGGATAACAATGGATTTGAGTCATACCATGCATTTAAATCATAGGAATCTAAAACAGGAATAGGAAACATTCATACATGGAGTGTACAATACCAAAAGTGTACCGTAATGTAAAGCATGAACTTTGTGTGATACTGACATACCAAAGCAAGTTCATTGATTATAAGAAATGCACCACTGTGGTACAGGATGTTGAAAGTTTGGGAGGCTAGCTATGTGAGGAAGCAGGAGGTATATGGAACTCTGTACTTTCTGCTCAATTTTTCTGTGAACTTAAAAGTGTTCTAAACTACAGTTCAACCAGATGTGGTGGTACACGCCTATAATCTCATCACTAGGAGGCCGAGGTAGGAAGATTGCCAAGAGTTCAAGACCAGCCTGGGTTATATAGGGAGTTAAAGACCAACCTGGACTACATAGTGAGACCCTGTCTCAAAAAACAAAAATATACGTATGTAGACATGTGTGTGTTGTTTATATAGTTATATATGTATGTATGTATACATGTGTATATACACACACATAACACAAAGAAACAGTATCTTGGTTGCTTTCTTATTGCTGAGGCATAATACCTTATACTCACAACCTAAAGGACAAGAGTTTTGATTCAGATTTTCAGTCTGTGGTCTACTGTCTCCAAGGCAGGAAGGAATGGCAGAAGGGCATAATGGAGAAAAAGTTGCTCATATCATCGTGACCAGGAAGAAGAGAGAGCTAACCAAAACAGGAGATAACACCTTTCCATGTCACATCCCCATTGACCTGCCTCAGGCCAGACCCCACCTTCCACAGTGCACTCTGCCACTGAATGCACTGGTGGATGCATCCATCTGCAACCCAACCATCTTCTACAACCCCCACTTGTAGGCTCATGAGAATGGGGGAAGGGGTGATTATAAATCTAAACCATAACACAGGAAAGGAAAAAACAGATAGTGAAAGTGTTGGATGAAAACCTTAAAAGTAATTACTGTATTTACTACCTGCAGAGAACTAAGAGAAGATAAAGCATCTTTGAAACAAGAACAAGAAATCATTGAAAGAGTCTATTCAGAAAATACAAGTCCTAGAAGTTAGAAGCATTTAATTTAGAAGTTGACCTGGAAGAGTTAGGAAATTTTCAGAGGTAGGGTGGGAGGACAAAAGACAAATAATTTGAAAATGGGAGAGAGAAAAAATAAGAAAAATAGAAGATCAGTCTGGGAGACCCAACATACAAATTATAGGAATTCTAGAAAGAGAAAAACAGGTGAAATAGGATAGAAATTTTTCATCAGAATGATATTTAAAAAGTTGTGACTGAGGGAAATTAGTTTCCATATGAAAGGTGTTCCTCCTAGTACATAATATAGTAATTGTAAAATAATTCATACCAGTATACATTGTGAATGATCAAGAGTCTACTAATAACTTAAAAGTTTACAGAGAGAAGACACAAAAAAATCTTCCTATCAATAAATAAGTAAATAAACCACAAAAACCATCAAGAACCATAGTGACAAAGACCTTTCCCAGAAGCAGTACTGTAAAGTAGAAGATTTTAAATCAATACCTTTAAAATTATCAAGGAAAATTATTTTAATATAGAATTTTATACCCAGCCAAACTATCATTTAACTATGAGGTTTGAATAATGCCACTTTCATATAAGCAAGCTTTCAAACAGTAATCTCCCATGCACATTTAGTGCAATGGAAGATTTTCTTTGTCAGAGTTAAAGGAATAACAAA